TCTATACAAAGAACATATAAGTTAACTATTGGAGCTAAACTCTGCCGATAGTTCTATACGCTCTCCCAAAACAATAGCAACACTATATACAACGCTGTACGATAACCAATAGAGCCAATTTCCATTTCTACATGTAGTGATATAAGATTATGAGCCGTATAATTGCTAATTTAGAAATCATAAATCATAACTTAGCAGTATCTTGTTTTGATTTGTCCACGATCTTTATAGCTTTTTTGTAGTAGGTATAGAAATAACGTTATTATTCTCACAAAACTTTATAATTTCAGATGTAATGATATTTTCATTCAACTCATTGATCGTGCCAAAATATTTATAATTTCTTCAGAACCTATTTATCTATCTCTTAACTGCAAATTAGTTATACCTGTATAATTGGAATTCACCTTATTATTTTAACATACAATCCGGCTCCTAATATTTAAACGTGCGTTATATGAAGTCTCTCTAATTGCATGTCGCCATTTAGTCTCGACTAATATATACATAATTATATAACGATTTAAAATAAAATAAAATTACTGGCAAAATTCAAAAAAAACCGATATGCATGGTGAACACATTTTGTATCAGTATTGAGAAGTTATCAAGTTTGAAAACATTACAAACTATTAAGTATATTAATTTTTTTATTAGATTTGACAAATTATTGAGTTTTACGGGATCAATTTTAGAAGGTTAAACAGTCTAAACAATCCTAATTTATAATCAATCCTAATTTATATAGTCTCGATTTGATTAATGATTACAATTATTGTATCTCGATTTGATTAATGATTACAATTATTGTACAAAATGAAGTAAAAAAAGTTTTTTACTGTCCAGACCTGTCACAGCTATCAAAATCGGAAATGAAATCTTGTGCAAACATTATCCTGAAAATTATATACTTCAAAGTATATCAACGTTACATTATAAACAAAGTAGTTATGTCATATTCAAATGTATTCACCTACAATTTATATATTTTCGAATCACATAACGATATGCTAAAGGAAAAATAATAACGAACAAAAAAATAAAATAACAAAATATTAAGGATCTGAATCTCAAAATTTTCTGCTTCTAGCTCATTAGCATAAGAACAGAAATTTCATAATATTAATTTAGTCGGTATGAATATTTCCGAAGGAATTACTGCTTAATAATTTACAAGTCATACAAACAAGAATAATAATTAAACGTGTCTCAACTCATATCTATTGGCATTAATAACAAACTTTAGATCCTCGAGGAGAATATCACTGTTATTAAGATGACAAGACCGACTGCAATTGTAGCATTTCTGAACATTGTTAGAGTCTAATTTGCACGAAACTCCAAGCATGATAAATCTAAATATTATTTAAATTTTATTTACCTTTCATATATGTTCAAAACACTAATTGTGCCAAGAAATTCAAGTTCTTACTTCACAAGTGCTAGTTTAATTAGTGTGATACTGTTCAAACATTCATTTATAAACATAGCCAGAAGTACTAATAAAAAATCTTAAATACTATTTATTATAAAATGATAAATGATATCAGCTATATTAAAAGCTTCATATACAATAATAATATCAATAGCAATCAAGTACAGCTTTGATTCATAATATATATTACAAATCTTATATTAATATTCAATTCCTTTCATCCTTTTATAATCCTGAATTGTAACTGTTTCACCAGTTTTTCTGGAATGCTCCGCCGCAAACACACATACGTGTGAATCTAAATTGATTTTGATAAAACAAATCTATTAATTATACAAATATAATATACCAATACTATGAATAAAAAAAAATAAGTAGAAGCCTAATACTGTAATATATAATCTTTACAAACCCGAATTACTAAGATTTCTAGTCTTATAAAATTCTAATAGTTTAATAATGACCAAAGTTTTTTTTTACAAAAAGTTGGTATATTTAAACACTTAAAATATTTTAGCATGTCAACTATTAGAATTTTAAATTATCAAAATTTGAATTATCAAACATTAAACTATTGAGCTTACATTTCAAACATTAGGCTTTACATTATTTATAGTCAAAGTTTGTGAATTCTATATATATAACTTACTTAATGCTTGTTGAATACCAGTTCTTATATACAAATTATCCGAATTAATACCTAATGATGTTCCATTAATAGAGTAAATAAATGCTCGCATTAGAGCCATGTCACCACCAGCTGTAAATATTATAAAATTTATTAATAAAATAATATTATGTCAATTTTGAAAAGAATTTTAATTATGCCAATTATATTCACCATGACCACTTAGATCCTTAACACCAAGAATATCTGTTGGTACTAATATCTCCTTCTGCCTTGTCAGAAAATTAAAATAAGTTATAGTATTAAAGCCATCACATTCTATTTGACCTAATGTGCCAAATATTCTTAAATATAATAATATAAATTAAGGTTAAAAAAGAATAATATGAATATAATTATATATGTATACAGATATTGGGTGTTTTTTTTTAAAACAAAAGCGATATATAAATCTATTACTTACTTGGTCTTATAATATTTACAAATTAGATTTTAAAAAAAATTAAAATTATTATAGTATCATAATTTAATTGTTTAAATATAAACATATAATTAATAATATATGATATACCTTTCTTTCGGTAACAGCTTCAGTATACGCTATCATGGTGATATTTGCAGTCGAACCATTAGCGAATTCTAGGTTAACAACCTTAAATTATTATAAATATGATATTAATTTATAAAATAAATTACACGCAATATTAATTTAAAAATTAATTTTTTCTTCGATATATCATACTTGGTTATCTACAACATCATTATCACTTTCGAAAACGCATCTGCCATAAGGTCCTTTTTGTAAATTATTTTTTAAATTCTCAATATCTAAGTTTATTAAAAAAGCTCTTTATTAAACATAATATTTATATATATATATATATATAAAACCACTAATCAGATTATACTAACCAACAATATCCGTAACAACATTGACAGGCCAAGATCGCACTCCTTTTTCAAAACTATTATCAATGTAGATTTTCTTGGCGGAATAAGGGCACGTATCTTCGATTTTGCATTCGAAACAATTTCTAAAAAATAAATCAATATATATATATATATATTGTAAACTATTTCAGTAATATCACCAAGAGAAACCTGAATCCGGAAAGTACAGGTTTTAAAATCATTAGTAATTCATCGTGATGATAGTAACCTGTACTTCCGGATTCAGGTTTTCCCTTGGCGACACTCATATACATATATTTAAAATTAAATAAGCATTTACTTTGCGTCACCAGCCTCTTTGGGTTTATTTTTTGAATTAAAATGCATTAAACTACCGAATGAACTAACTTTCTATAGTTTAAAATAATATTTATTGTAAAAATTATATAATATATTAATATATATACACACAATACTCATTATACATACTGTGCATGGTGAATTATTCCAATAAGACATCAAATCTTAAAAATAAAATAAAAATTAATGTTATTAAAGATATAGTTATTATAGACATTTAAAAGTTTTAAACACTGACATACCGATATCGTGACAACACTGTAACATTAATAATAAAATTAATAATTTAATGTTTGTATAAAATAATAAATTTTATAAAAGTGTATATTAACCTTTGTCATTAAAGAAAAGCTAGATTGGGCCTCATTCCTCCAATTACCCCTTACATATGAATGCGCAAAATGCCAGAATCCAACAGGCTCCATATGTTGAATATTTACAATATTTCCGAGATAACCAGCATCAATTATTTCCTTAACTACAACATTATGCGGGGTATATCTTAAGACATGGCCTAATATTGATTTAATTATGAGTTAGTTATAATTTTGTCTAAAGAACTTTTTAAATAATATAATAGCTATTAACATACCCACTGCAAATACAACCTAATGTTTTTAACAAATAAATAAATTATTGTTATTATAGTTAGGAGTTCAACTCAAATCTAGTCCTATTCTACGTCACAAGATTACACACCTCATTCTGAATAATGGCGTCAGTAATCTCCACACAGCCCTCAATAGTGACAGCCATGGGTTTTTCTAACAAAATATGATATTTTTTATTCGCAAATTCAACTAATGGTTCTATGTGAAGATCGTCCAACGTCGAAATAATAACTGCATCACTTAATTTTGCACATTTAATCATCTTTCAATTTTTAAATAATGTGTGTTATCATTAATAACATTTTTAAAACAAGGCATATTATTATTAACATTTTTGAGAATAAGAAATTCAATTAAGTTCATACTTCTTTCCAATCAGTAAAAATGTTTTCTTTAGGGATCTTATACAACTAAAAATGTAGTAAATCGAACATAAAAAGATGTAAGTTTTTTTATAGTTTCAAATATTTTATCACAAAAAATTCTTTTATTTTTCTGATAATTTTTTTTTAAAAAAAAAAGAACCTCGGCCATTGCATTCCTTCGATGTTCTACAGGTTCGGCAACAGCCACCACTTTGGCCCATTTCGGTTCAATACCCGCGTATTCTGCATACAAAGATCCTCTGTAATTGAGACATGCAAACGCAGAAAAAAGAAGATTAGTAAATAGTTAAACAAACAATTTTATAGTTAGATTATACCTTTGTCCAGCACCAACAATAGAGATAGTGATAGGCTTGGGTGGTGGTGATGGTGGAGTTAGATTTGCATGCTTAAATTTTAACTTTTCAGCAATAGAAACGGGGTTTTCTACTTTTTCTGTGAAAGCAGGGATCCAAGACATTTTAAGTGCTGTTGATGCAAACCACTTATTCACAAATTCTTTCTTTTATGAACTTTTTGATTAAGTTAGCGGACATCTGATAATGTTGCACAAAAATAATGTGCATAGCTGTGAAACTAATATCTTACTAAAATGGCATTATAATAAAGGAATGTCCCGGAGTTTCTATTAAACCTCCTAAACTCCTTAATACTTGATTACTACAAATTCTACCCAAAGCTGGCCCCTAATGCTAAAAAAGCTACCAAAAAGGGCTTTATAATTTATCGCTATAGCGATCCATCGCGGATATTCTATAGAATAGGTGGGCAATATAAGAAATAAGCTTCGCTAATGATTAGTAATCATTAATTTTTTAATAGCGGAGTTTACGGAGTTTACGGAGTTTGCGGAGTTTGCCCACCTATTCTATAGAACATCCCAATAGGATCCTGATTTTGTATTGGATAGTGAGATTATTAAAGTATCGTCTATCTACCCCACATCTAAAAAAAAAAATCATTTGAAATTTTGTCTCAAATATTACCGATAATTTGAATAAATTAATTCATCGACACGAGTCCGAAATTGGAGTAATAGAAATCTCTCAATCACCTGACGATGACACTCATCCAGGTGTTGAGGCTAAAATCAAACTTCTTTTTCCTCTTCCAAATATCGTTAATTATCCTAGAGAATATAACACTTGGAGTGAATTGCGTAATCCGATACCTAGTTGTTTTATAAACTTTAATGATTCATCATTTTACAAAACCTGGAATGGTGAAGCGATTATTAATTTCAAATGGAATACTTTTGGTAGAAAATATTACTAAGTAATTTGGGCAATATATACAGTATTTTCTAGTAGTTTTATTATTGTTGTCACTTTATATAATAATATTTCTTTGAAATACCAATTTTTTTTCGATTTTGGCATCTATTTTTTGAAGTTTGCCAATTTATTTATGTATCTTTGAATTATTTTTTAAGTACTTGGAATTATATCCCTATGAAAAAAAATATACTGAAATTATCTTGAATTAATACTTAAATTTTTCAGTATAAAATTCCGTATAGAATT